TCATGAAACTTGCTCCATTCATTGGTACTAGTCCTACAACTATACCCTGAAAAATGCTTGAGGGTGGGATTAATACAAACATCTTTTTGGGTGGGGTGCATTTTATGACAGGCCTGGTTATCACAATATGCCCCCCCTTAATATCTTACAAAATAAAAGGGTCACATACATGAAACTTGCATTTTATGACAGGCCTGGTTTATCATCCGAGTCAGAAATAAAACAAATATGGAGTGAGGGCTAGTCCTGCAATTGTCCAACACATTTACATACACACAGTAATTAATAATACATGTTGAATGAAATAAAGAAGTGACATATTATCCATACTAAAATTGTGTACATTATCACACATAAAATAAACATTCATTTTGAAGATTAGAGTCCAGTGACATGGTAAGCAATCAAAGTCAGTGTGAACAACATGTCATATTCATCTTTAACCCTTGTGTTGTATTCGAAAGCTGTTACCGTTCATGGTGTTCGCGGGTCAATTTTGACCCATGATTTATCTCCATCTCCAAAACACTCCAAAATAATGACTATCATCCAATATTGTTTTAACTCCATCATAACCTTTAAATTACAACAGGATTGTTTGGTCATTATTTTGAAGTGTTTTGGAGATGGAGATAAATCATGGGTCAAAATTGACCCGCGAACACCATGAACGGTAACAGCTTTCGAACACAACACAAGTGTTAAAGATGAATATGACATGTTGTTCACACTGACTTTGATTGCTTACCATGTCACTGGACTCTAATCTTCAAAATGAATGTTTATTTTATGTGTGATTATTATTACATGTTAGACGCTTTTATCCAAAGTGACTTACATACTCAATACTGTGGGCAATCCCCACAGGAGCAATTTGGGGTGAAGTGTCTTGCCCAGGGACACAACAACATGCTGACTGCAGTGGGGTTTGAACCTGTGCTCCCCTGATCCGAACACCAACACACTAGTCCACTACGCCACACGCCTCCTGTGATAATGTACACAATTTTAGTATGGATAATATGTCACTTCTTTATTTCATTCAACATGTATTATTAATTACTGTGTGTATGTAAATGTGTTGGACAATTGCAGGACTAGCCCTCACTCCATATTTGTTTTATTTCTGACTCGGATGATAAACCAGACCTGTCATAAAATGCACCCCCCCCCCCCCAAAAGATGTCTCTATTAATCCCACCCTCAAGCATTTTTCAGGGTATAGTTGTAGGACTAGTACCAATGAATGGAGCAAGTTTCATGTATATGACCCTTTTATTTTGTAAGATATTAAGGGGGGGCATATTGTGATAACCAGGCCTGTCATAAAATGCACCCCCTCCCCCCCCCCAAAAGATGTTTCTATTAATCCCACCCTCAAGCATTTTTCAGGGTATAGTTGTAGGATTAGTACCAATGAATGGAGCAAGTTTCATGTATGTGACCCTTTTATTTTGTAAGATAGCAAGGGGGGGCATATTGTGATAACCAGGCCTGTCATAAAATGCACCCCACCCAAAAAGATGTTTCTATTAATCCCACCCTCAAGCATTTTTCAGGGTATAGTTGTAGGACTAGTACCAATGAATGGAGCAAGTTTCATGTATGTGACCCTTTTATTTTGTAAGATTTTAAGGGGGGGCATATTGTGATAACCAGGCCTGTCATAAAATGCACCCCACCCAAAAATATGTTTGTATTAATCCCACCCTCAAGCATTTTTCAGGGTATAGTTGTAGGACTAGTACCAATAAATGGAGCAAGTTTCATGAATGTGACACTTTTATTATGTAAGATATTATTTACAAAATTAGCGTTTAAAAATGTCTATATTGTGAGGCTAAATATTATATTATAGCATACTGTTGCATGGCAAATGTAACGAAACACATGGCCTGATTTGCATATTGGAACTTTATGTGTGCACTAGAACACATTTATATGTAAAATTAACACTTATCACAACATAATGTGGGCTCGCAGGCTGATAAACTAGGATATCTGATCTCGGTGGGTCTTAACTTAGCTTGATACAGACCTCAGTCAGTATATACTATTTCTAAGCAAATTCCTACTATAATATGTATATTATATATTATAAGTGTAGATACATTCGCTCACATTATAAATGATGATCAGGTTCCATTTTTCTGTAACTTTTTAACAAGGTTAATATAAAAAATTAAAGTGTGGTGGACAAATACGTTGTGTTGATCCTGGCGCGCTAGTAACGCGCAGGACTCGAGTGATATTTGCTGTCAGGACTCGGGTTTGAGTCCAGCATGAACTTTTTTGTTATTTTCATGTCGATGGACACTGAATATTACGTTTGAATAGAGGATTCCTAATATTGTTTGCCGAGACCAATATTAATAACCCATCAGCATTTTAAAGTCTAAATATCCCTGCACATGCAGCAATGACATTTCTGCTGCTATCTTTGCAAAACGAGTTAACAGTCACATCTTATCTGGATGAGTGCTGCAGAATACCGTTTTTATAAGGGATAAATGTGTGTGTAGTGTTTCATATTAAACATGATCGCTGGTAGATAGCCACAGAAGTGTTAACACAGTTTAACCTGGGTGGATCACAGTTTAACATGGGCGGGTCCCAGTTCCCTGGGCGGATCGCAGTTTACCTGAGAGGATCACAGTTTAACACAGATGAAGACTTCTCCACGCTGCTTTCAAACTGTGAGTAAACACCGTGTGCTTCACTTGGAGGCTGTCTGAAGGTGTACACAGGTCTCAGATGGACTTAGTATCACATTAAGAACGATATTCAGTAATAAGTCTGGCAACAATAGCTGGTTTAAATGATTTATTGGAGCTCGCAATGTTTTGAACAGACATCCCTAGTCAACTCGTTTTTCTTTTTGTAGTCCTCGCTGTTCGCGTCTGGATGTCGCCATCATAACCACAACCTCACACACTGGTACTGAATGTGCATCAAAGTCTTCCTACCGACCCAAATATACCAAAATATTTATGTAAATGACAGAAGAAGCCATCGAAATGTGTATTTCAGTCGAAGGCCACGCCCTCCACATCTGTGCCCCAGTTGATGGGGAAACCAGTTAATCCGGAACACCTGTACGGCGGTACTCAGTACTCAGTAGATGCGTCATGAGGTGCCGCCGCTTTGCCCGCCTCGCCCCCGGAGCAGCAGTCTTCGTTGCCCCAAACACCGCCACCCCTCGGCGGCCCGCAAGTGCCAGAGGACCTCGGCAAAACAGAGCCTGCCCAGGTATATTTAAAGGGGACCTATCATGCAAAATGCACTTTTGTACGTCTTTTATACATGAATATGTGTCCCCGGTGTTCCAGGGAACTCACCAAGTGTCAGAAAACACAACCCTCTCTATTTTCCTCCATACCCAAATCTCTAAAAAAGGGGCTGCAACGGATCTGATAAAAACTGATCCAGATTTGAACACTTTCCTGACGTCAGGACAGTGGCGCTATGGCTATTGGGCCAACTCCACCAATCAGGAGGAGACAACCACGGCATTGCCGTTCGAAAGCGCTGGAGACGTTGTAGTACATATGCCAGGCCTCTAGATGGTGCTGTTGCTCACAGAATCAACCCTTGCTAAAACAGATCTAAAAAAGTTCAAATTGAGCAAAATGAGGCATGGCTAAAATGCATGATCTGTTTGGTATTTTGAAGAAAAAAAAGTATAAATATGCCTTATATAGGTATGGTCCTACACTATATTATTCAAATATAGCATGATAGGTCCACTTTAAACAAGTTCCCAACTCGCCTGTACAGTGGGGTAAGGCGCTCATTTTGCAACTCATGGTTTAAAAACAGAGATTGGCTGGAATTTCCTGTAAAAAAGATGCCATCTTCTGCTATGCCTGTAGACATTTCGGTTCAAATACATCTAAATCAGATGCCTTCACCACAATTGTACCAGAGTACCAAACGCTGTCTCCTGGTACTCATCTGAGTAACTCACTAAAAATGAAATACTATATGACAGTAAAACAAGAATAGAGTTTAAAAGGAGAGTGATTTGTAAAATATCCATAAAGAAATAGAAAAATCTGTTTACAGTTCTGTTTCATATGGATGTTGAGAGATGTATCCATAGATCTCTTAATTTTTCTCTCAAAGTGCACCAGATTGATGCATTTAACTTCAATATTTAAAAAAAATCTTGTGTTAGATCCACTCCCCACTTATAAAAATAACACTTTACCCCTGCACCCTCTCTAATCTCAGATGCACCCTGAGTCATTTTGTTTAAGTACAGTGAGCCTTTCTAAAATACAGTAAAGAGACAAACCCACCAGCATTATAGGATATACTATGACTTTGAACCAAATTCTTGTTTTTGGGCTGTAAATAATAAATTGACTTGAAACAGTTGCTGATTTAGAGTACTGGCACCTTTTTTATTCCAATTCAAGGACTGGTTATTTCCATGCTTCTCCTGTTTCCACACCCTCCTCCCAGTCATCCGTGCATTTATTTTGGACATAATAGTATTGGTTTAGCAAGATAAACGTTTTTGCATTGCATAAAAATGCATTCATATTGCTCCTAAAATGTGAAAATGACTTGCCTGTGTTTCTAACATGAGGTTGCCAGATACAGCTGCCTTTTACGGGTGTAACCGGTGCTTATTTACGCGACTAGATATGCCTTTTATTATAGAGGCCACCGCCTTTAAGCAGTTTCAAATACCAAACGGATCACATGTTTTCTGTAGCAACAGCACAACAAAAATATAACCCCCAAATAGCAGGAGTAGCCTACAATAAATTAGACATTTGTTTGGCGCCTACATCTTACAAACCCTGCCACCTGTTTCCGCGCTTATTTCGCTCCTCTGATTCCGTCCAATGGGAATGAACGGCAGGTCTGGAGGCGGAGAAAGAGGGAGAGAAGTTGGAGGAGAGAGTGAGACAGATCCGGGGAGACACAGAGCTGTAGATTGAGTAGAAGTCGGTGGAGCCACACATTAAATCACAGACTTCACTGCTCATCTGAGGAGTGTTACTTGACGTCCAGCTTTGCGTTTTTTTTGTTGCCAGTTTATGTCGCTGCACATTTTTGACGTGCAGCCACAGGTTGATTGATGTAATCCAGTCACTATGGATTATTCCTCTTGATCTCGAGTCGATTGTCACTGACGGGATCGAAATGGGCACCGTCGAGAGATCAGCGGTGATTGAGAAAGAATCAAACTGATCGTATCAGGTGGAGACGGAGGCAACATCTGTGGCGAGCGACGCACAATTTCTAGAGACAAGAGAGGGACCTGTGGAGGGACCTTTATGAAAGGAGGCGAAGCGAAAAGATGATGGGATGGCCGTGACAACATGAAAAAGAAAAAGTGTGGTGGTCTATTTTCATCCAGCCAGTGATCCAAAGCAACTAACCTGGGGGATAGGGACCGAGAGAGAAGAGGTAGTAGGAGGTAGGTAGAGAAACAGACAGGGAGGAGGGGGCCGTGAAGGTGTCTCGTTATATCATGCTGAAAGTAGGTTATTATTTTTGGATTAATCAAATGAAGCCAATTTATGGTTAACTGAGGCATACACACAGTACTTCATGTGCTGTCAAAACGGACTGATGTGGAATTATTATCCTTTAGTCTCGGAGCTTGATCTCATTGTGAAGCCAGAGGATCGGCACCATCCCTCTGGCTTACATCATAGTAACACAGATGACATTTTATTGCATAGATTGCTGGAAGCACTGTGGGATGTGAGAGAAAGAGAGGACACTGGGAAACAGAGAGAGAGGTCACTGAGGGAGGCTGGCTGGGCAGCTGACTCAAATGTGACTCAAGGAATAACATATTCCCAAATTATGGCCACTCTTCCTCACTCTGATGCCCCTCTTTGTCACACATCTTCAGCTTTTTGAGTTCAGACTTTACCCTTATTTGTTTTAACTAAGCGTCATCCATCACAATGCTCCCTCCAGCCACTCGCTCGCTCTGTCTGTGCTGTCTGCATTGCTGCCGTCATGATGAATAGTCTGTCCGCGTGTGTATTTTTCTTTATAGTTCTGCTCTTCTCTTGTTTTGTGTTTGTTTGTAGAAAAGTGCGTGGCCACCGCCGTGACCATGGAGCCTCCCCCCTCTCTGAGCTTGGCTCTGCTAGGAGGGAGCAAGGATGAGGACCAGCGCTTCCTCCTTCCCCTGAGCAGTATTTCTCATCCCTCAACAACTGGCAACCAGCCAGGATCAAACCACTCCAACCACATGGGAGGATCAAGCCTTGAGCGTCTAAATGGCAGCACCCCGTCCCTGTCCCCTACCACGCCCAACTTACCTCCATCATCGCTCCCTAAGTTGCCCCTGTCATCCTCTGGAGCCCAGCCTCTGCCCCCAGCCATCCCCAACGCCCTGCACCCCACCAGTACCCCCCTCTCCTCCTGCCTGGGCTCGCAGCACAGCCTGAGTGGGGACTCCCCAGTCTACAATGCCCTCTTTTACTCGTCCCACTCACCCTCCATGGAGCGGGACAGGGACAGGGAGAGAGAGAGGGGCTGCAAACACAGGCAGGCCAGCCCCCTGGTCCACCGCCGGGACAGTAACCCCTTCACGGAGATCGCCATGAGCTCCTGTAAGTACACAGGCGGGGTCATGAAGCCCCTGAGCCGCCTCAGCGCCTCCCGCAGAAACCTCATCGAATCAGACAGCAGCAGCGAAACCAAAGAGGGTGGCGTTTCAGCTGTTGCCGGGGCAACCGCCGCTGGGGGGCACGACCGACAGCGAGAAGCCACTCCTACCTCTTTGGTGGCCCTGTCTTCTACCAATCCACCCCCAATTCATAGCCCTCCAGAGATTGTGATTTCTTCCAAAGAAGACTCGCCGTACCTCAGGGTGGGATATGACATCACTGACTCCACCTCCAACCAGATGTCCATCTACCACCAGAACCACGCGCTGGTGGAGAGCAGGCGGGCACATCCGGGGCGGGGCAGCAGGCAGGGGGCGGTGGGGGCAGTGGGGGGGGTCGGGGTGGCGGGCACAGGGCCCAGGGGCAGCACCTCCAAGGCCTCCAAAAGGAAGAACCAAAACATTGGCTATAAACTGGGGCAGCGCAGGGCGCTGTTCGAGAAGAGGAAGAGGCTGAGCGACTATGCCCTGATCTTCGGGATGTTTGGCATCGTCGTCATGGTGATTGAGACGGAGCTGTCCTGGGGCGTGTACAACAAGGTGAGAGGACAGTCAAGGGGCACTTCACTGATTTCACACCTACAGTAAAGGTCACTTCAAAGACATGGTTGTATAAATTGTTATCTCAGGAGGAGCAAATTACTCAGATGAAGTCATACTAACGTCATCAGGGAGATCTTTCATAGACACTCTGGATTTATAGACAAAAGCTTGTGGAACAAAGGTTGTGGGAAGTTATATTTGAACAAAAAGTGTTGTTCCTAGTCAGGTAGGGTCCATAGTCAGTTTAGGATCTGGTAATATTGGGGTTTGACTCTAAGTATGGACTAAAAGTTTAAATATCTCCGCATCTGCTTCTTACATTTTGACCACTCTATGTTTAATCTGTCCCACTCAAGTCCCACGACTTTAAGTAAGTGCAATAATAAATTGGTTGATTGCACCTTTAATGAAGATGAAAAATACCTCAAATCTTAAGGCAACAGGACTACTCTGCATTATCTTTCCAGATCAAGCAGGATAACAGTGTCTGCATTAGGGTGGTAAACCTAAATCTCATTGTGGTTTCCAATGTTTGGCTAACACCAGCAGCCTGCCCTCCTTGTAGCTTAACATCCACAAGCTTGTGCTGGATGTGGTTACGCATTCCTCGGTCGAGTGGTTATATGGCAGTTTATTTTGATACCGCGTACATACAGACTTATTTCCATTTTCTAGCTGATCTTAATTCTACCAAACTGCGGTGGTTTTACAATAAGTCATCATTGGCCCACTCTCCATCTTAATGCTTGTGGGATGACCAGGCTAATGTGTGGTTTGTTTGATTTTCCTTTTGTAATAAATGTGTTCAATTAACTTCAAAACATGTTATGGACAAATCATATCTGCGAATAGGAAGTCTGACAGTTTTTATTAAGAAATATTTAATCGACTAATCGCGCACATCTCTATCCACCGGCCAAATTCGAACCGTGGACACTGAATGGTAATGATTGTCTTCAAACCAGGACGCCCACACTTTGGCAATTAAGGGGGCAATTGGCTAGATAAAGAGAGTAACCTCTCACCCCTCATGCATTGATGATTGGAACACCTCACCAAATTAAACCAGCACCATGTTGTTGTTGTTGTTGTTGTTAACGTTAACTGTTGTGACCAGGCTTGACAGTTACTTCTTCTCGATGATGTAATACAACACTGCTAAGGACATGGGGGGGGGGCAGATTATCGGTAGGAGGCCAGGATCTCATTTGTCTGTCTAATGGGGAGTGTAATAAGCTGAATCGGCCTCTGGCCTGTGTGTGTGTGTGTGTGTGGTGTGTGTGTGTGTGTGTGTGTGTGTGTGTGTGTGGTGTGTGTGTGTGTGTGTGTGTGTGTGTGTGGTGTGTGTGTGTGTGTGTGTGGTGTGTGTGGTGTGTGGTGTGTGTGTGTGTGTGTGTGTGTGTGTGTGTGTGTGTGTGTGTGTGTGTGTGTGGTGTGTGTGTGTGTGTGTGTGTGTGTGTGTGTGTGGTGTGTGTGTGTGTGTGTGTGTGGTGTGTGTGTGTGTGTGTGTGTGTGTGTGTGTGTGTGTGTGTGTGTGGTGTGTGTGTGGTGTGTGTGTGTGTGTGTGTGTGTGTGTGTGTGTTGTGTGTGTGTGTGTGTGTGTGTGTGTGGTGTGTGTGTGTGTGTGTGTGTGTGTGTGTGTGTGTGTGTGTGTGTGTGTGTGTGGTGTGTGTGTGTGTGTGTGTGTGTGTCACACATTGTCCCCGCGCGCTCGGGAGCATGTTGAGCTCACCCTTCATGGTGCAGAGATACTTCTGGCCTTGTTCCATCCCTTTTCTCAGTCTGACATGTCACAGTGGCTTGGTTTTCTTTAGCTAATAAGGTGGAAACATTACTTCCACTTATGCAGCTTGTCATTCATGGATCACTGACCATGTGATGACGGGTACAAGATGATGTGAGGGCACAGGTTTACAGGTAAGCCATTGGAATAGGCCACCTGGATGTGTTTTTCGCCTCTATCTTCCTCCTCTGTTTTGGTTTGCAGTCTTTCAGAGTATCTCTTTGTTACTGTCGATGCTGGAAAAATCTGCCTCTTCCTGTTCCACTAGTGTCTTTGCCTCTGTCTCCCACCCATTTCTCGAGGAAAACCTTTTTTAGAGTCTATGTATTTTTCTTAATGAAAATCCATGTTTGGTATTCCCCTCTTTCAAGCTTTCCCTGTGTCATTCCTTCCTTTCTGTGGACCCATTCTCCTCCCTGAAAGGGACGGCGGACACTTATAATGCTCTCTTTCTCTGCCCGTCTCTTTTCTATTTCAACTCCACGCCTGTCTCTTTATCTTTATTTTTCTTTCTTTCATTATTCCCCTCACTTTCTCTCTCCCTCTGCTCCACTGCTCCTCCAGTGGGCGTCAAACTGGGTGTGTGTGATCGGAAGAGAGAAGCGGCTGGGCGAGAAATGAAAGGCTGAAGGAGGAGAGAAAAAGGGAAAGGCATTAATGAAAAGCCTGATTTAGGACCTTAAGCTACAACCAATACAGTCTTAATCTGAATCCACCAGCATTGGCCAACATAAGAATCTATGGGCAGCCGTGAATTTGAGCAGGGCGGCTGAATTGTTGCCAGTGCTCTCACTCTACATTGGTTGGTAGAATATCGTGTACACTTCAATGTCTCCATTCAGGGTGGACAGTTGAGAATGCTTCAGCAAAGCCTGATTAACAATGTATACTTCTTTCTTTTTCATGGTTTGGAGATTTGATTTGACTCCAACAGATACTGGAGTTCCTTCAGACAGTTCAGCCCTCACTTAGATAATTGAGATGGAAAGAATCCCGCTGGTTGTTGTGAAAAATGGATATCGAGGTTGTCAGGATGAAAGAGAGAAAGGGATGGGAGATGAATGGGAGGACAGTCAAAAGAGAAGTGTAGAGGTTGATGCAGTGCTTTAAACCAGTCTAGGGGGGAGGCCTTCAATGATTTCTTGTATTGATTATTGATAATTACTCACCCATGCACTCACCGTCCACCCCGGCACACACATGCCGTACAAACTCACACACTGAAAATGGAAGCTGCCATTCTGAGGTGCTACAGTGTGTGCATCAGTGAGAGGTAGCGTGAGAGCGTGTGGGGAAATGTGATAGTACAGAGATCCTTTTTCATTATTGAATATAAACTCTTCAATATAGTCTCTCTCCATCTCTCCCTCCGTATCTCTTTCATATATATATTTATAAATATATTTATCTACCCTGTTAACAGCACAGTATGCCTTTTGACTCTTTTACAATAGCTGTAAACTAAATGTCACTCCATGTGTGTGTATGTGTTTCTACCAAACCAGCTGCTCTATCTCGCTACCAAAAATAGAGATGAAGAATAAGAATGGAACTAAACAGTGGGTGTGTGTGTATGTGGGTATGTGGGTGTGTACGTGTGTGTTTGGGTGTGTGTTTGTGAGTATGTTAGGAAGGATAAATGGATAGGGGTTAAGAGAGGAGGACATGGTGTTCGTGACTGTGGGTTTAGTGAGTAAGCATATGTATATTCATGTGCAGTAACATATTTCAAACACACAATGAAGCGGAGATTTATTGTATTTTAGTATCTATCTAGTTACTTTTCTATAAAATTCGAAGTCCATCAAGGTGAAGGCCACTTTTTAGGTCATTAAGATCAGTTTTAATGGAGATAAAACATTCTTTTGTTTAAATATTCAGCAGTAGTGGAAAGCCTAAGCACAATTTTGTGGATTAATGCTAATTTACTTTTTCCGAATACTTGCATTGATACTCAGCACTCTAGGCAGCGCAGTAAATCCCTGTACTGAAAGTGTCCAATCACAGTTGTTGAGCCACGGCATATTATGCAGAGGGAATATTGAATGATGAAATAATTCATGAATGTGAAATTGTTTTATTTGCTCTCCAGGCAGACTTGTGAGTTTTCCCACAACGAAAAAAAATAAAAACATCCAATTCAATAACTAGTCGAGAGACAATTAGAGTCTCATGCATCGCATTATCTGGGGCCTCTTCTCATGATCAGTGTCCCTGTGCCACTCAACCCAGGACCTTGACTCCTCAAGTGTTAATGGCAGTATGATGACACATCCTTATAAAACACTTTTATGAGCTTCTATTATTGATTTTATCAGGATCGGGAATCCCGCTCGGACATGTGTGTCTATCTGAGAATAACTGAGGCTATCTGACACCTGGGACCTCACTATGTCACTGTCAGATCAATAGAAGGCTATGTCACAAAGGCCCATGTGGCTCCCCGGGGGCCCCGGCTCCACACCACGGCTCAGGCTCTATTCTGAGGGAACACACAGCTGCTGCCTACTTCACCTGTCACGCCGTCACCACTCACACTCAACACCTCGATGTACAGGATGGGAGGTGTGTGTGTGTGTGTGTGTGAGCATGTGCAAACTTCTCACCACAAGCATTGATGATTTCGCAGATCTGTAGCAGTGCTCGCTTCCATTCTCCCTTTCCCTCCTTCTTCTCACTTACGGGGAGTGTTTATGTTCCTCCCCTGGCGAGTCTTAAATATGTCTTTGTCTCCCCAAGAGCCATCTCAGCGGGCTTACACCATCTCCCACATTCCCCCTGCACTTCCAGCGTCTCTTCCTCACAACCCTCGCTTCCTTATTTATGACATTTCCTCAAGATATTTACTGAGAGACCTTTTAGACCTACATCTTTGTGAGGCCATTAACAGCGGCTGCTTGGTGCTTTTCAGACGGTAGGGTACCTGAAGATCACCAGGGAATTAAACTCACCAACTATCACCGTATTCTCTTAAGGAGCCATCTCAGCACGTCTGCACGTCACTCCCCCTCCTCCCTTCTGCCTCTTCTTCTACCTCCTCCTCTCCACATTCCCTTCATCTTTAGATCAGAGACTTCTAAGGGACAGTAGATCCCACAGGTCTTGCTACTAACAGGTACAAAATGTGCTCATGTCTTTCAGTGTAACAGGCCTCTCTACCTCTCTCTACAGTATGAGTGTGTTGTTAGACCTGGGTGTTAGCATCATCCATCGG